TGGGTTGAGGATAAAATAAAATATAAAATAAACTAAGACAATTTACAGTGAAATGAGAAAAGAAATTTATTTTATAACTACAGAACTCTAAGACAGTACAAAGTACCAATTTCAGTGGGTTACCAAAGATGATATTCCTTCTGGCTATATCTAAAAAAAGGTTGCAATATTAATTCATAAAATAAAGGAGCTTACTTTTAATCTTAATTTAATCTTGGAAAATTTACTCTCAATATTTTAAACTTTTATACTTCGCCTATTAGTTAGCTTTTCTCTTTACTACTCCTGAAAAGGAAAGAAAATGGCTTCATGCAACTAAAGATTAAGAGCAATTCTAGTAGATCACCTAGCTGCCTGAGGATGCTGGATCCAATGATGCATACAAGAAAGAAACTTTTTTTTTTAAGATTTATTTTTATTTATTCATACAAAACTGGGGTACAGGTCAGAGATGTGGAGGGTGAGAGGATTCACCAGAGACAGAGCGGGGAGCAGAACAGGCAGATCAACGAAGTACACTGCTGAAGGGAGCAGCGGGTGGGTCAGGAGAGGTCTGCCACGCCATGTGGATCACCTCTGGGGCAGGCAGGGATCGAACTCATGCAGAAGTGGCTTAAGCCTCTTAGTGCTGTGCTTTAATCTGCTGCACCACCAAGGAGGACCCCGAAGAAAGAAACTTTTATGAGATGTTCAGAACATTACACATAGAGTAAAAACATTTCAATGTGACCCTTTTTGCTGCATTATGAGCTACCTCAATCTCTCTAATTTCAAGCACACATCACCAGTTTTTTGTATCTGCTTTTTCATCTATAAAATCTCAATATTATCTATTTATTAGACTTGTAAGGATTAAGTACACATCCTGATTCCTTTAAGCTTTAGTCATTATTATTATATATTTTAGGAGAGGCTAAAAGCTAATAATGACATTTAAATTTTATTACATTTTCTGCCCCCTATACAATCAGTGGTCTTCTCCTTTACTAGTCATAGGTTTACACACACTCGTAAAATTATATTTGTATTTAATGTCATAAAAATACTTTGATGCACCAATTTGCACTCCCACCAACAGTGTAGGATATAGCCTTGGTGCTATATCCTAGTATTTTTTCTCCTATTTTATTTTCATTTCCTTTGCATGAGACGGGATTCATAGTTTTTGTCTCCTTTATAATCCTTTTTCCTGACTAAACTGTCTCCATCACCTTTCTGTACCACACCAAGTCATCCCTTCTGCCAGCTATTGTCTCCATAAAGCACAGAACTGATTCAACTCCTTTCTACAATCCCTTTATTAATTTCTATTACTGACATGATTAATTCTTAAAATGTAATAATGACTTTCTACCCATCTGCCTCCCACTCTCAAACTATTTAAATTCCTGCATCTTTATAAAACCTTTTCTTTTCAGGAAAATATAAACACTTCTATATCCCACACCAACACTTCCTCACATTCATACTGCCACCACTGGCATCCCCTCTCCTGGGATCCCTTTCTTCCTTCTTACAGTCCCACTTACCATCAGGGTAGAGCACAAATGCCAGCATCTCTCGGAACCTGGCCCAGGCCACATGAGAGAGATTTAGTCTCTAATTCTTGAGTACACACACAATGCTTTTCTTAAACCCTTATGTCTCATTGACAATATTTTCCTCATATTATACACACAAAGCTCTGCCCCTCACAGAAACTTACACATGTGAACAATGTGTATGAATATGCACATTTCATCTCTGTAACAGCAGGTAAAATAGCTAAAAACATCAATTTTATCTTCCAACATTAAGCTCCTTGATTAAAGGGCATAGTCATTAAATATGTTTTGAAAGATGACAGTCGTGTTGTTTAGTTGCAAAAGGAAAAGAAAAAATTTCTATCTGTTCAAAGATCATTAGGCATATTTGACCTATCTGCAAAAGATGTTCTACTTATGTCCTTTCATCTGCAAATCAAAACCTTTTGTTGTTAACTCTTTATAACATTGTCAACTAAATGACCAGACAAAATGGCTTATAATCATTTGGTAATTGCATAAAATTAATATATCAATACATTAAAGTACAATGACCCTCTCACAAATTAAAATTCTAGAAGACATCAGCAAATAGAAGGGCTATTTGGAAAAGAAAACCTGTGTGACCACACTTATCAGATGATATTGAGCTAGCTACTCTGCCTGCCTACAAAATGCCTTGCTCTTCTGTACAATGCAAGTAGAATGGGGCTCTTAATGGAGAAAAACTAAGAGATGTTAGGTGTCAGTACCCAGAGCGACTAACAGTACGTTCTAAGAGCCAGAGTATTTGTCAGTAAACTGGTCGATAATCTAGGCCCCCTCTGATGGGGCACAAAAAAAGCAGAAATTTGAATACAAATGTTATCTTTGCTCTCAGGTGCCAAAGTGACACTCTTCCGTAACACTCACACCTACACCAAGTCTATTTGCCAATAAAGTCTAATTCTTCAATTCAAATTTGCTATGACAACAAGTGAGTTATCTTTCTAAATCACTGTCTTTAACAGATCCCACTCTTGAATGAAGGTCGCCATCATTTTTTTCAGAATATAAAGCACACTGACCTTAGGTACAGTATTTCCAACTCCTAACAGAGTTGAATGGGAGTTGTTAAAATGAGTTTAAAGGACAATTTGGATCCACACGTTCAGCAATCTGTGGTTTTAGGGTCTTTCTTCTAACCAAGGCCAACACTACATTTAGATTTTCACATGTGCCTGCTGAGAGGAGACATTTTCCTCAAATGCACCTGGGGCTGGTGTGAGACTTTTGAAATGCTGCTGAGCCAAGTCTCCAATTGATAGGTTTATTGAGACCATGTTATGTAGTAAGCTGTCACAGTCCTGCACTTTAAAACTCAATGATGTGTAAAGAATGCAAAGGCTGACAGATAGTCCTTTATAAAAACTGCTAGCAATCCCAGTTTGGAGGGCTTGTCAAGCATGCTTCAAGTAGATGAAAGAAAGTCCACTATAAATAGACTTTGCACAGAAAATTTCAAAGGGGAAATGCATTCACTTGGGCACAAGCATGCAGCATTACTGTGTTGTAGTGAAGAGACCGAATGGCAGTGTAGTAGTAATGTTCGTAATAATCACTATAGCAACAGGTTATCACTGATAAACAAAGGTGAATTCAAAACAACTTCTGTATTTAGACTCAATATCTTGAAAATCTCCATTGTTATGTATGTTTGTATGTATCTATATATGATAATAACAACGATTATGAGAACTCGGACTTTGTCCTTTTTATAAAAAAATGGCCACTTCAATGACTGATATCACTGACTTGACTATGTGTTGGATCATCACATAAGTCACCTCAATATAACTCAACACCCAAAAGAAAAATGGAACCTATTTTTTAAGTTTTCAAAACTATGGAGAATGTGACCTGGGCAATTTACCACAGTTTTCAAACACAAAGACTCGATGCATCAATTTAGATGAGAGGCATAGTCAGATATGCTCCTGACAGGACTTTCTTTATTCTATCAGCTCCACACTGGGAGGCTTCGTTGTTATAATTCTATACATCCTGCACGGATACTTCTGATTTCCTCCTTTAGAAAAGTCATACCAAACTTGATGGTCCTATTTTTAAAAATAGCAGAAAATCAAGAATTGGTGTCTTTTATTATCATTGCTTTGCGTAGTTTGGATAACCTAATTTTTTGAATTTGGTTACCAACTCTTCTGAGAATAAGTACTTATAGAAGCTGCTTTAAAAAAATGAAAATGAGGCCCTCCCTGGTGGCGCAGCGGGTTAAAGCACTGCACTGAGAAGCTGAAGCCACTTCCGCATGAGTTCGATTCCCGCCTGCCCCGGAGGAGACCACATGGCGTGGCAGACCTCTCCTGGCCCGCCCGCTGCTCCCCTCAGCGGTGTACTTTGTCGATCTGCCTGTTCTGTTCCCCACTGTCTCTGGTGAAGCCTCTCACCGCCCCTGAGCCTCTGGCCTGTACCCCAGTTCTGTATGTACAAATAAATAAATCTTTAAAAAAAAAAAATGAAAATGCATACCATAAAAAGTGAAGTAAAATAAAAGTTCATCTGCAATGATTTAAAATGTTTTCAATACAGCGTAGATGGCACTATTGTTTTGTTATGACATTTTTCACATACATCCTGTGTTTAAGAACTCAAAAGATGAGCAATTATTAAATAAGTAAAATAAACATGAAACTATTAAAAGATGTAAATATTTAACAGAAAATGAATATGTTTGAGAATATTACACATATTTGCCAATGCTCCGCACATTTGCTTAGATTTGTATTTATTATGTGACCAGGTTTAAAATATTCAGAGCCAGGTTAAATGTGTAGTTTGAATCCTTAGAAGCGGTCTGGAACACTCCTAATTTGTTTACAGTGGAAGCTTCCAGGTCTGTCATTATATTACAACATTCACACTACTCCCCATTCCCTACTGTTGTTAAGGAGAAGTACCACAATGTAATTTTAGAAATACACAGCATGTTTTTCTGTTCTTGGTTGGGTACAGATGAACAGTGTCAAGAGAAAGCTTCTATAATAAAAATTATGAGGAAAAAAATTACTACCAAACCTACGTTAAGAATTCGATTAATATGGTAATACTGTTTGTATAGTACAAAATGTTGCAAATAATACCTTCCCCCAAATTTTACAAGTATAATAAATCTAGCATGATTTCAGTTTTTTGTTAATCAATAGCTCAATAAAAGGTCTCTTCTTTTTATCATCTTAGGAACATAATTAGCACTCAACCTAGATGTTCTGTCCACCCTTATTCTGTTTCTAATTAGTTCCTATTATTCCTTCCAATATCAACTCAATTGTCACTCTCTCAAGGGAGACTTCATTAGAAGCCCTCACTATTTCAAAGTTCCCTAGGGTTCTCCCTGACTCCTCTTTTGTATTCCTTATCCAATCTAGCAGGAAACTCTTATTCTACCTTGAAATTATATCCACAGCCACTTCTCATTACCTGCTATGTTGCCACCAGCTTCTGAGGTATCCTTATTTGTTCCTGGAACATAAAACAGATTTTAAAATTTATTTATTTATTTATTTATTTATGCATACAAGAATTGGGGTACAGACCAGAGGTGCAGGGAGTGAGAGGATTCACCAGATTCACATCATGGGAAGCAGAACAGCAGATGACTGAAATATACTGCTGAGGGGAGCAGTGGGCAAGACAGGAGAGGTCTGCCATGTTATGTGGGTCACTCCCCTGGTCAGGGATCAAACTTGTGCCACAGTGGCTGTGAAGGATTTCATAGTGCTAAGCTATAACACCTTGCACCACCAGGGAGGACCCTAAAATAAACTTCTCAATGGTTTCCCTGCTTCTATTTTTGATCCTTAAAGCCAGATAGTCTTTCTAAGACAGGGTGGACCCTACTACTCTTCATAGCCTCCAAAGCTTCCCACTTTACCAGGGTAAAGATCAAAACCTTGGAAATGGGCTCAAAGATCCAACTTCCACCATCCCCCTACCTCAAATCAGCTTCTCCTCCACATCTTCTATTCCTCACCACGATTCTGCTTAGTACACTCTTCTCTAAAATATACCTACTCATTTCATATTTTGTTTGTCTAAAAACACTTTTCTGTATTCAATGAATATTTTATTCCACAAAACCAGAAAATTTTACCTAATTTGATAACTGCTATATATGTTAGAGGAGGCAGGGCTCACAGAGTAGACAAGTATAGTGATTTACTCATTCTCACAATATTTATTTATGTAAATGAGTAAATCACTATACTTGTCTCTTAAAGGAACTTGCACACGCGCACACACACACACACACATATCCCCATTCTTAGTGAGATTAGTCATTTACTATTCACTTCCTTACAATTCCATCCTGACATGAAACCCAGACTTCAGAAACCATTTATGTTTTGTCTATCTTGTATCCTCAAGGCTCAGCACATGTAACACATATCATAATAAATATATATGTGTGTATATATATATAACACATCATAATATATATGTATATTATATATAATACATTATAATATATATATAAAATATAAGTTTGTTTAATAAATTAGTGAAAGAAGAAATGAAGTATCTTCTTCTATTTCACTCTCTAAAGAGCTTACAATATTATATCAAAATAAATTTCAACTTACCAAATTTAAAATTTTCCATGCCCAGTAATATACTTGTCTTTTGATCTCTCTGTAGTATCTGCATGAACTAATCCAAAATTTGAAGTTATCTGTCTTACATATGTAGCTTTTTTCAAAGACTAGTGGCTGTTCCTTACAACAAGCAGAAAATATCTGTTTATTCTTGCTTATAAGCAGTGTCATTTTGCAACTATCACTTTAATTCATAATGTTAAATAGAGAGAATACATATGATTCCTTGTTGAAGGGATTCATGTGAGAAGCAAAAATAAATGAGCGTGTTATGATAAGGTAAAGAAGCAGTGTCCTGTGTAAATTGGGAAAGTCAAGGTAATCCAGACTTTGTCTCAGTCTGTTCCCTTATCACCAGGTTTCTTGCTAGAAGCAATCAATTAAAGGAAGTGTGCTAGTGTTTGTTTGTTTTCCTAGCCAAAGGCAGACTCACTGAAAAGCAGTTGACCATGCCTATAATTGGGTGAACTTGTTAATAACTACACCTTGTGGTACAGTACAGTTATCCTTTCATCAATTACTGAATTTCTAAGATGTCTGTTGTCATTTTCCCTTTTTTTATTTCTGATTCTATTTATTTGAGTTTCCTCATTAAAAAAAAAAAAGATTTATTTATTTATACACACAGAACTGGGGTATAGGCCAGAGGTGCAGGGGTGGTGAGAGGCTCACCAGACACAGAGTGGAGAGCAGGACAGGCAGGTCGATGAAGAACACTGCTAAGAGGAGAACCAGGCGGATCAGGAGAGGTCTGCAACACCATGTGGATCACCTCCCAGGTGGGGATCATACTCATGCTGAAATGGCATTAGCTTCTTAGTGCTGTGTTTTAACCCACTGCACCACCAGGGAGGGCCTGAGTTTCTTTTTTTTTTTTTTTTTCATTTTGAGGTGCTGGAGAATTTTCTTTATTTCATTTTCTCAAAGAAACATCCTGTATTACTGAAATTCATGTGAAACCACAAGAGACCCCAAGTAGATAAAACAATTCTGACATAAAAAGGAAAAGCAGCTGTATCATATGTCCATACTTCACACTGAACCACTACTTACACTAATCACAGCAGTAGGATACTAGAACAAAACACAGAGACATATAGAACAATGGAATATATTTGGGAGAACAGAAATACATCCAAATATCTATGGACCATGAATAGATGTGAAAGGAGCCAAAATGTATATTCGTGAAAGGAAAATCTCTTCAACAAATGGTTTTGGGGAAACTGGACAGCCCAAAATAAACAATGAAACTAGATCCCATGTCACCTCATGCACAAAAATTAACTCAAGCTAAATTAAAGGCATGGATGTGAGAAGTAAAACCATAAAATATATATAGACAAGATATTACATGACATTTGCTTTAATGATGGTTTGATGGATTCATCTACAGTGGTGGGAGAAATAAAAGTAAAATTAAAAAATAGGACTATATCAAACTAAAAACTTTGATACATAAAAAGAAACTAAACAAAAGACAGAAAAACACTTAGCTTAGTGGGAATAAATATTTGCACCTAAGTCACCTATGGGATAATATCCTAGATCTACAAAGAACCCATACAACTCAACAAAAACAAAAACAAAATCAGTCAGAAAATGGACAGAAAAGCTAAATAGACACTTCTTCAAAGAAGACATACAGATAGATAAAGCACATGAAAAAAAAAAAAAACTCTCATTACCACCTATAGGCAGGGTAATGCAAAACAAAACACACAGAGATGCCATCTTTTCTCAGAACTCTGGGGATGAGCCACATGAAACTGCACAAAAAGTACATATTGGCAAAGATGTGGGAAAAAAGTTATTTGCATACTCTTGGTGGAAATGCAGACTGATTGAGCCCCTATGAAAAACAGCATAACTCTCTCTCACACAATATTTAAAATAGAATTGCAATATGATCCAGCAGCTCCACTCCTAGGTATCTACACAAAGAATACAGAAACACTTCTTTGGACTTATGTTTGTATTCCTCTGTTCACTGTAATATGATTACCAATAAATAGTCACATTATGGGAACAACCTTAGTGTCCAGGGGCAGTTGAAAAATAGATTAGGGAAATGTGGTGAGTGGAATACTACAGAAACTATATTTTAAAAAAATTAACTATTTCCATTTGCAAAAGTGGATGGATGTGGAGAAGATTCTGAGAAAAATAAGACAGAAGGAGAAAGATAAATACCCAATGGTTTCACTTATATAGAGAAAAAAGGGTCAGACAAAACCAAGCCAATAACAACCCTAGAAATCTGTGATTGGCACAGCGAGAGAAAAAAAAAATGGGGCAAATGCAGAGTAGAGGGGCTCTCAACTATGGTGGAGACCATTGGGTGCCGTGTTGGTTCACTCAACATGTATTTTTGAAAACATATTCTAGGCTCCGAGAACATAGTAGTGAATGGATAAATTTCTTGAACTCATGCCAATCATATTCCAGAAAGGACATAATATGGATATTATTTATTTAGTAAACACAGCACTAAATCATGATAATAATAAGTAGCCCTTTGGGCTAACCATAGGCCAAAAGGTTAGCCTAACACTAGGGCTCTCTTTATTTCACACTACAGCTCTTTAAGGCAATTTTACCAGTGGCTCAGGTCACAGAATTAAAAACTGAGGCACAGAAAAGCTATGTAACTTGCCCAAGTTTAATTAGCTATAAGTCATACAATTGCAATTTGAATTAAGATAGTCTGGCCACAGTCCATTTTTTAAACTTTATTTTATGGAGTCTTTGAAAAATATACCATGAATGATATTGGCACAAAGACACATGAAGCTGAGTAAGAGGGTAGGGAATTATGAAAGGGATGGTATTGTTATCATAATTCTATGTGAAATATGCCCACAAATCCTTTGAATCTTTTTCCCTTCCAGAAGTGGAAACTAACCTCTCTCCCTTGAGTTAGGGCTGAATTTAGTATTCTAACAAATAGAATAAAATTGAAGAGAAGATGTGTTGATTCTAAGATTGTTATACATTGCACTGGGACTTTTCTGTTCTGTCTTGAAGCATTCAGTCTGGGGAAAGCCAAGGCCTCTGATGCACAAACATTCAACAATCTCTAAGAGGAACTGAGGCCTCCTGTGGACAACCAGAACCAAGTTATCACATCTGTGAGTTAACCAAAGTGAAAATGGAAATTCCAGCCCCAGTCAAGTCTTCATTTGACTAGAATGCTGACTAAAATGACTGAAACCTTTTAATACAAACCATCAAGCTAAGCTGTTCCTAGTTTCCTGATCTACATAAAATGATAAAAAAAAGTATTAAATAGGTACATATTATCTTAAGCTACAATAATTGGGGATTATTTTTATGAAGCTCTAGAAAATTAATAGGGTGGTCCAGTAAAGGTTGTCTATTTCTAAGGTGATAGTTGGCCAGACACTCAAATCAAATTATGGTGCAACCTATGGGAATATGCTGGGGGTAAAGCTTTCAAGTGATGAGAAAAACATGTACAGAATTTTGAGTATGTTGTTGATTTTCAAGAAATAGTCATTTGTCTATTTGGAATAGAACAGAAGAGAGGCATGGCAGGGCATGAGGTCAAAATTTATAGACTTGATAATAAAATGATTCATATGCCTTTATGGAAGGATGTAAAACTCACACTCTCTGGAATCTTCTGAAAGTACTGAATGGTTCAAAGTAGGGATTGACTATAATTTACCACACACAAAAAAGATCACTATGACTATTGAGTAGAGAACAGAGGATAGCAAGCAAGAGTAGACTCATGGATGTAATTTAGGAAACTGTTTTTTAAAACCCAGGTGAGACACCATGGTGATGTACTTAGTTAGCTGTGTCACAAATGGTGGGGAAAAGTCAGTTTCAGAATTTGAAGATGGG